GTGGCCTTTTCCAACACTATTGCATAAGACGGTATTTGGAGTGCCAACTGTCATGTTTGGGAAACTTTCAAGTGTCGTTTCTTAGAAGCCACCAAAATAGATATGAAACGATGGAACTGAGCCACACTGGAAATGCCGATGAGAAATTTCTCCAAAACTAAGAGGACTTTTCTTTTTCTTTTTAAAAAGTTTTCTTGATTTTCTATTGTTTACATTTTGTTAGTGCTTATTATGTCAACTCGCGAAGCATCCCTGACCTGCTCTCAAGTTGCCATAGACAAGGGGGAATGAGAAAATGGCGAAGTAGAATGGCAGCCAAAGACAGGAGCACATTCCAGACATATCTTTCTCAAGGCTGTTTCCCAGGGTTACCCACAGCGGCCGGAGGGGAGTGATCTCTACAACCCGTGAAATTGCTCCGTTGGTGAATGTGACTGATCATGTCCTCCTAGTCCTTCTTTTCTTTAGACTAGCTAAACCCAAATCCTGCAACTGTTCTTCACATGTTTTAGTCTCCAGGCCATTAATCATCTGAGTTGCTCTTCTTTGCACTTTTTCCAGTCCTTGACTTACGACCACAATTAAGTCCAAAGTTTCAGTTGTGAAGCAAGACAGTTGTCAAGTAAGCTTTGGCTCATTTTACGACCTTTCTTCGCACAGTTGTTAAGTGAACCACTACAGTTGCTAAGTGAGTCACACAGTTGTTAAGCGAATCTGGCTGCCCCATTGACTTTGCTTGTCAGAAGGTCGCAAAAGAGGATCAAACATGACCCCGGGACACTGCAACCGTCATAAATACGAGTCAGTGGCCAAGCGCATGAATTTTGATCAAGTGACGGCGGGGATGCTGCAACAGTTGTAAGTGAGAAAAACGGTCACAAGTCACTTTTTTCAGGGTCATTTAATGTCAAACCATCACTAGAGTGATGGCCGCGCGGGTGGTTATGGGAGCAACATGGCGCTCCCGTGTAACACCTCTCCTGCACGAGTTGCACTGGCTCCCGGTGGTCTTCCGAGTGCGCTTCAAGGTTTTGGTTACCACCTTTAAAGCGCTCCATGGCTTAGGACCTGGTTATTTACGGGACCGCCTACTACCACAAATAGCCTCCCACCGGCCAGTACGCTCTCATAGAGAGGGTCTCCTCCGGGTGCCATCAGCCAAGCAGTGTCGACTGGCGGCACCCAGGGGGAGGGCCTTCTCTGTGGGGGCACCCACTATCTGGAATGAGCTCCCCCCGGAGATACGGAGGATCCTGGATCTGCGCACCTTCCGCCGTGCTCTTAAGACCCTTTTATTCCAGCAAGCCGGCCTGGCCTAATTTTTCTCCCCTTTCTTTTAAATTTTAAATTTTAAATTGAAATTTTAATTTGTTTTAAATTTATTGGGATTTTAATTGTCGTGGGCCAATATTATTTAATTTGGTTTTAAATTGTTTTTAACTTTTGTATTTCTGTATTTTATCTTGTGCCTGTTCACCGCCCTGAGTCCTTCGGGAGTAGGGCGGTATACAAATTTAATAAAACAAACAAACAAACTAAATGAGCGGTTATAAGTCAAGGTTTACTTGCATGTCTGAAGAATCTTATCACCCAAGTTTAAATTTGAGCAAGAACTCAAATCAGCTTATGATGATTTAGACTTACTCTAAACTTAACCTAATAATATTTGGAGTGTCTGTAATTTTGGAGACGACACCATCTAAGTGTAGGGTTTCTCTCTGTTATGGCTTGTATCCCATTTTTATTTAAATTCTGCTTAATATTTTTAAATTGGCATATAGAGGCTGTGTTCAGAATCAGGCACTTTGCCTGCATATTGATTCAGGCACTTTTCTAGATTTACAGAATCTACTGTATAATCTTAATACATTTGATATATTATTATAATATATATATATATATACAGTACTTATACTTATGTATTAATATTATATATATATATATATGTATGTATATAATAGGTTTAATATCTATCTATCAATGTAATACATATACTTAATATAATTAATACATATCAATATAATATATACATATAATATACTTTAATATATATCAATACAATATATATACTTAATATGCTTAATAGCTCAACTAAATCAAATAGCTGAGATTGCACGACACACTAAGCCATCAAAAGCAACAAGAACCACAACCCAAAACTAAAACAAACAATTGTTGTATCCATGCAGCCTTTGTGTGTTGTGCATTCCTATAACACGGCTAACACAGTTTGTTTAGTTTAGTTTAGTTTAGTTTTATTTGATTTGTATACTGCCCTACTCCCGAAGGACTCAGGGCGGTGAACAGCCATAAGATAAAAAACATAAATACAAAATTTAAAACTGAATAAAGTTGAAGTAAACAATTTGGCCGAAGACAGATTTAAAACACCCCAATAAATTAAAAACGAATTAAAATTTACGTTTAAAAAGGGGGGGAAAAGGGAAAACACAGTTAAATATGATGCAAGTTAATGCATTTTATCTCCTTTTGCCATTACGAATGTCTGGTGGGGGGAAGGAGAGGTAAATACAATTACATAACCGCATATTTTAGCTGGATTGCAGCCTAAACTAATTAATCAACGGCAGCTATGGATAATTAATCTGCTCCTGAAATCCATTTAGCCTTCACGTGTGATTGCATGAGCTAAAAGCTAAAAGAGTCATCTCGAAGATGCTACCTTTAAACAAGGTTTCTCATCCTCAAAAACAAGAAGTGAATCTAAGCATTGTTTTCTAACATTTTTTAAAAAAAACATTTTTTACAGTAGTCCTCGACTTACGACCACAGTTGATCCTAAAATTTCTGTTGTTAAGTGAGACATTTGTTTTGTGAGTTTTGGCCCATTCTACAATCTTTCTTGCCACAGTTGTTCTACCTATTTATGGACGGAAAATAGAAGAATAGAATAAGAAATAGAATAGAATAAGAAATAGAATGGAATGGAATGGAATAGAATGCAGAACAGAACAGAACAGAACAGAACAGAACAGAACAGAGAGGAGAAAATAGAATAGAATAAAAAGAAAGATTCAGCCTACATATGGGGAAATCTTGTTTTTCCAACCCTCACTGCCCTTTAAGGCTTCCTATGCTGAATGCTCCCTTGTTGTGTTATGACAGAAAAGACAACTTCTTATTTTCACCTTTTATTTTGAGAGGTAATTTATCTTGCCTTTGTCTCTACAGGAGCCGACTGCCACATTTCACATGTTTGAGTTTTTTTTTTTTAATATTTAAATCTAGGTATAATTAAATGTGTGAAAAACAGCATCAAAAGTTAACCGGAGGTAGGCATTTTACACATTGAATTTATCAGAAGGCCTTTTACAGAAGTACTTTCTGTGCTAGAGATTGGCATGGTTTTTTTTTTAAATTTTTTTTGATAGAAGTGCTGGGAGAAAAATATTTTAAAACAAATGAATATAGGAACGTGGGAGACCATTTCAGCAGTCTCTGGTTCCTTGCAGAATTCTGATTTTTATCTTCTAGGTGTGATTTTTCAGAGGATCTCGGAATTGGAAAGGACACTTTAGGTTATTAAGATCAATCATTGCCCAGAAATAGGGATCTAAAGAAAACCATCTCTGAAAAAATGGTACCGTGTTTCCCCGAAAATAAGACCCTGTCTTATATTTTTTTGAACCCTGAAATAAGCGCTTGGCCATATTGCCATGCGCTCAAAAGCCTGATTGGACTTATTATCAGGGGATGTCTTATTTTGGGGGAAACAGGGTAGATGATAGATAGATAGATAGATGATAGATAGATAGATAGATAGATAGATAGATAGATGATAGATAGATGACAGATAGATAGATAATGATAGATAGATAGATAGATAGATAGATAGATAGATAGATAGATAGATATAGATGCTGTGTTTCCCCGAAAATAAGACCCTGTCTTATTTTTTTGAACCCTGAAATAAGCACTTGGCCTTATTGCCATGCGCTCAAAAGCCGGATTGGGTTTATTATCAGGGGATGTCTTATTTTGGGGGAAACAGGGTAGATGATAGACAGATGACAGATAGATAGATGATAGATAGAGAGATAGATGATAGATAGATAGATAGATGATAGATAGATAAATAGATAGATAGATGATGGATGGAAGGAAGATAGATAGATAGATAGATAGATAGATAGATAGATAGATAGATAGATAGATTGATTGATAGATAGATGATGGATGGAAGGAAGATAGATAGATAGATAGATAGAGAGAGAGAGAGAGAGAGGGAGAGAGGGAGAGAGAGAGAGAGATACCGTGTTTCCCCGAAAATAAGACCCTGTCTTATATTTTTTTGAACCCTGAAATAAGCGCTTGGCCATATTGCCATGCGCTCAAAAGCCTGATTGGACTTATTATCAGGGGATGTCTTATTTTGGGGAAACAGGGTAGATGATAGATAGATAGATAGATGATAGATAGATAGATAGATAGATAGATAGATAGATGATAGATAGATGACAGATAGATAGATAATGATAGATAGATAGATAGATAGATAGATAGATAGATAGATAGATAGATGATGGATGGAAGGAAGATAGATAGATAGATAGATAGATAGATAGATAGATAGATAGATAGATAGATGATGGATGGAAGGAAGATAGATAGATAGATAGATAGATGATAGATAGATAGATAGATGATAGATAGATGATAGATAGAGATAGATAGATGATAGATAGATGATGGATGGAAGGAAGATAGATAGATAGAGAGATAGATAGATAGATGATAGATAGATAGATGATAGATAGATAGATGATAGATAGATAGATGATAGATAGATGATTGATAGATAGATAGATAGATAGATGGAGTGCAACTGTGCAGCCATCGTAACTTCGAAAACAGATCATAAGTAGCTTTTGGGTGGTCTGCTGTAAATTTGAATGGTCCTTAAGCGAACGCTCGTAAGTGGAGGACTACCTGTAAAGATGGGAAGGCTTATTCCATGGTGTTCCTGCCACCCGCCTTACCTGCAAGAGAGGCCTTTGCACCCCGAGCATTTTCATGGTGTCTGCGTTGGCCAGAATCTTCAAGGGGTCGGTAATTTTGGTGACGCCCTCGATTTCCTTGTTGATTTCTCCCAGGACTTGGTTCAGAAAGATGTTCTTAATGTACATGGTGAGGAATTCTCGGAGGGGACATTGCTTCGCGGGACTGAACCCCAAAGCGTGTTCAATCTCTTGAATAAACCTGAAATACAGAAAAAAAACAAAACAAAAACAGAGGTAGATGCGTCATTACGACAGCAGAACATGATTTAAGCCTGCGAATTTCGCCATTTTAACCCAAGGCAGGTAGTCCTCGACTTGCAACAGTTCATTTAGTGACCGTTCAGAGTTACAGAGGCACTGAACAAAGTGACTTAAGACACTTTTTCACACAACCATTGCAGCATCCTCAGGGTTAGGTGATCAAAATTCAGATGTTTGGCAACTGACTCATATTTATGATGGCTGCAGTGTCCCAGGGGGTGGGGGGTCATCTGATCCCCTTTTGTGACCCTCTGAAGTTGATTGGTGAGTAACCCGGTAAAGTGAACCTGTTGTGACTCTGACTCCCCAGCTTGTCCTCATGGAGGAAGAGGACTCAGAAGGTGAGGGGGAGGAACTGGCAAGGCCTCCCTCTCCAGGACCTTCCTCTCTGGCAATGCCTCAGGTTCCATCTGAAGGCCAGGAGGAACAGCCTGGGATGTGCCAGGAGGAAGGCATTTCGGAGCACCCATTGATAGAGAGTAATACTGATGAATGTTCTGTCCCCGTCCCACACACGCACCCCCACAGACGGCCCGGAGTTAATAAGCCACACGACAAAATCTTTGAAGATAAAGCTGGGCAGCAACCCAGTGGCTAGCTGCCAATTCAGACTTTACTCACACAAAACAAAGATTAGACTGCAAGCATTCCGATAAAGCAGGCAAAGTTTCAACAATACAAGGATTAGTCCAAATGCAGTCCGACAAGGCAGGCAGAAGTCCAGTAACGCAGAGATCATGGATTATTTCTAGTTTTTGCTCGTCACAAACTGAACCGGCCACCACACCCACATTTATACCCTGTGGGGTGTGGTCCAGTGACTCAGCTAATCTCTGGCACGCCTTCCCCTCTGCTGCACATGCTTCTCCCGGCGCCGCTGCCGAGGGTCCAGCCAGCACTTATCTTCTTCATCGCTGTCCACCTGTGGCTGCGGGGACGTGCTTGGCTCTGGGCCTATCGGCCTTCGGTGTCCTCCGGAGGCATTGCCAGAGAGGAGGGTCCTGGAGAGGGAGGCCTTGCCAACTCCTCTCCCTCACTCTCAGAGTCTGCATCTGTCGATAGGCAACGGAGCCACAACAATGAATCCTGGCTTGATCTCAGGCAGCGTCGGAGGGAGAAGCGTGCGCAACAAAGGAAGAGGCATGGAAGGACCATGGATTGAGCTGAGTCACTGAGCCATGCCCCACAAGGGATAAAGGGGGGGGCGTGATTGCTCGGCAGGCTTTGTGACGGACAAACGTTTAAACTCTAAAGAGTCACATCGTGAATCCTGCACTTCGGCTCAGATATATTTTGGACTAATCTCTTGTGGATAATTTGTCGCTCTGGAAACGGACTGCAGATAAGGCCTCTCCTGTTTTTTGGGAGTGCTAATTGGATTTGGCAGGCGTTTTACAAGTAGCTGCCAGAACTCTCGTCTGCCAGGAATTCTGGTCTGTTTATACAATACATTATTGGCAGGTGTGTTGGATATTGCATTTGTCTGAGTGAGGACGGGGGACAGAACAGAACCCGGCTTTCCCGTTGACTTTGCTGGTCAGAAGGTCGCTAAAGGAGATTGCGTGACCACAGGGACAAAGCAGCGGTCGTAAGTATGAACCAGTTGCCAAGCATCTGAGTTTTGATCACGTGGTCGCAGGGACGCTGCAAAAGCCGTAACTAGGAAAAACAATCATGTCCCGTTTTTCAATGTTGTCGCAACTTTGAACGGTCACGAAACGAGCGGTTGTAAGTCGAGGATTACCTGAACTTTGAACGTGGTTCATATCCAGCAGAAAGCCATCTGAATCTGTCGGATCTTGTGTACAGTTCAAACAAGTGTTGAGAAGGCTGTGGTGGCCTGTTGGCCGCTGGCCCCTCCAGCAGCCATATCAGAGGAGGAGGAGGAGGAGGCTTGGGAGTTGGGGTCAGCATCAAGGCAACCTGAGAGCTCCGAGGGGGAAGAGGGAATGGAGCTGGCGGAAAGAGCGAGGTGGAGCCTGGGCCGTCCGTCAGCCCTAAGGTGGAGAGTCAAGAGCCCCCAGGTCTGGAAGGTGGATTGATGAGGAAGAGGAGGAGCAGCTGGGTCCAGTGCCTGCCATGCAGAAGGCAGAGGAGAGGAGAGCAGTGGAAATCCATGGGCCGCTCCTCGGGACGGAAGAGCCACCGCTGCTAGGGAAGCCTCACCCTAACTCTGGAGATAAAAGGCAGGGGGCGGAGATGAATAGATGATGGCAGACAACTATTCATCTCCCTGCCGGATGGACTTGTTAGCCTGCAATGAGAGAGAAACTTTTTGCTGGGGGTGCTGGTGCTCCTAATTTATTTATTTATTTATTTATTAGATTTTTATACCTAATAAAGGAATCATTGATTTAAATACAGAGGGTTGGTCGTGTTTGGGGAGCTGGGTCAGAATAAAGTCTTAGCTGGCAATGGAGGAGTTGAAGGAGCCAGCGATCTTACGAAAACATTTTTTTCATAATTCGTAAGATCAAGAAAATCCGAACGGCTCGAGAAAATCCGAACGGCGTTTCCAGGAACTCATTGAAAAGAATGCGGTAGAATTCATTTGGCGATCGTAGGATTATGTGTATCAAGGCAACAGCTGTTGGGGGAACCCGTTTATCTTTTTTAGCTCAATCTCTAACAAGAAGTATTTTCTCCTCCTTTTCACAATCTCATTATTAACAACAATAAAACATCACAGCCCGTAAAAATAAAATGGAGTCTGGGGAACAATGTGAAAACGCCATTTAGGTCAAGAGAATGGAGAGTAAACTCAGCGGCTTAAGATCACAAGAGTTTCTTCGGAATGCAAACTGTCTGTCATGGACAGGCGGTCCTCGACGTACAACAGTTCATTTAGTGACCATTCAAAGTTATGCATTGTAAGCCGCCTTGAGTCTTCAGAGAAAGGCAGCATACAAGTTGAATAAATAAATAAATAAATAAGTGAGAACGGCGCCAAAAAAAGTGACTTAGGACCGTTTTTCCACGCTTACGACTGCTGCAACGTCCCCATGGTGAGGTGATCAAAATTCAGACGCTTGGAGGCCCCGGGGACATGTTGATCTCCTTTGGCGACCTTCTGACAAGCAAAGTCAGTGGGAAGCCAGATTCACTTCACAACGGGGTTACTCACTTATTAACTTTGGTGCTTTCTGAGTTGGGGGTTTTGATATGCCCTGATGATGTTCCCTAGTTGGGTCATGAAACGTCTGCAAGGAAACCACCAAGCTCAGAGACTACCAAGGACCTCACAGTCCTCATCTTCCTTCATCTTCCTCCCTTTCATTCCTTCTTCCTGTTCCTCTTACCCTCCTCCTCCTTTCTACAAACCACCCCTCCCTTACAGCACTGATGATGTTACCTAGAGGGGTCATGAAACGCCTGCAAGGAAACCACCAAGCTCAGAGAGCACCAAGGACCTCACAGTCCTCCTCTTCCTTCATCTTCCTCACTTTCATTCCTTCTTCCTGTTCCCCTCCTCCTCCTTTCCACAAACCGTCCCTTTCTTACAGCACTGATGATGTTACCTAGATGGGTCATGAAACGTCTGCAAGGAAACCACCAAGCTCAGAGAGCACCAAGGACCTCACAGTTCAACCCCGGCCTACCAATATTCTCTGGTGGGGTCCTTGGTGCACTCTGAGCTTCATTCTTGGCGGGCAAACCCTTCATGATCCAACTAAGTAACGTCACCAGTATGAGCGGCCAACCCTACCTTCCATCACACTGAGTGTTGCCTAAAACGTCTGAAGGGACCAACCAAACTCAGAGAGCACCAAGGACCCCACAGGTCATCCCCGAGCTACAAATATTCTCCTCTATCAATACAATCAGCATTATACTACAGAATATGATAAAAAAAAAATAGGATTTCAATTGGTGCCTTCAAAAGAACACCTTTTGCTATTCTCACATATTCCAAGTTGGCATTTTATTTGAGGGAAGGACTTCACATCTGTCGAGCCTAAGAGTCTTCAGACTATAATTTAGGTATCAAGACACTTCCCCCCCCCCCACGGTCAATATTGATCACAGGGCCTTCAAAATACGTCCTCCCAGAGTAAGCAATTCTGTCTGGAAAACTCCATTTTAATGCATTAGATTAAACCACTCCCTCGTGGTCCCACTTCAACACAATCAACATTATACTACAAATCACTCAGCTGGGTTTCGTCATGCCTAAAGTAGGACTAGAATTCACCGTCTCCTGGTAATTAGCCCAAAGTCACCCAGCCAGCTTTCCTGCCTAAGGGGAAACTAGAACTCACAATCGCCTGGTAAGGGGCCCAAAGTCTCCCAGCCGGCGCTCATGCCTAAGGGGAAACTAGAATTCACGGTCACCTGGTGATTGGCCCAAAGTCTCCTCCCTCCCCCAAGCTTTCATGCCCAAGGCAGGACTAGAATTCACCATCTCCTAATGATTGACCCAAAAACACCCAGTCAGATATTATGCCTAAGGCAGGACTAGAACTTCCCATCTCCTGGTAAATTGGCTGAAGTCTCCCAGCCAGTTTTCATGCCTAAGGTGGGACTAGAACTCACCGTCTCCTGGTGATTGGCCCAAAGTCATGTAGCTGGCGTTCATGCTTAAGGAAGGACTAGAACTCCCCATCTCCTGGTAAATTGGGCCTGAAGTCTCCCAGCCAGTTTTCATGCCTAAAGTGGGACTAGAACTCCCTGTCTCCTAGTGACTGGCCCAAAGTCACCCAGATGGCTTTCATGCCTAAGTGGAACTAGAACTCACCGTGTCCTGGTGACTGGCCCAAAGTCACCCAGCTGGCTTTCATGCCTAAGGTGGAACTAGAACTCACCGTCTCCTGGTAACTGGCCCAAAGTCACCTAGCTGGCATTCGTGCTTAAGGCAGGACTAGAACTCCCCATCTCCTAGTAATTGGTCCAAAGACACCCAGCCAGCTTTCATGCCTAAAGTGGCCCTGGAACTCACCG